ATTTATTAAATGGTATAGAGTACTTCATCTTGGCCTCTTTTTATCAATTTCTTGAAATCATGATACTACCAATCTAATAATGATGATGCAATCATGCAAATTTTGATATGTATTCCGTGTCTTGATGTTGACAATGAAAAACTTCTCATTGGTTTTTACCATATGTATATGTTGTACTTCTCAGTATGAAGAATATGGAAGAGTTGCTGATTCCATGCTTGTGAATACTGTATTGATGTTGGTGTATGTCACAAAGTTCTTCTGGTGGGAAGCTGGGTACTGGAACACAATGGATATTGCTCATGACAGAGGTTTCTATGTTTGATTGCTTATGTTTTTCCTATTCCACAAATACCACTCAATAGTTCATTATCTCATCTTCCCGATCATATGCATATATGTTGAGAAACATGAATGATTCAACAATATGTCACATCTTGCATCTATCTTTGTAGCTGGATTTTATATATGTTGGGGATGCTTGGTTTGGGTTCCATCAGTTTATACCTCTCCTGGAATGTATCTTGTCAAACATCCAGTAGATCTTGGACTTCAGGTATGGCTTAGAATATGCAGATCTCATCTTAGTTAAATACAATCATACTTTCATGCTTCTAACAATCCACCTCAAAAATTGCTTACAGCTTGCACTTTCTATTCTTATTGCTGGCATTCTTTGCATATATATCAACTATGATTGTGATAGGCAAAGGCAAGAATTCCGTAGGACAAATGGCAAATGCACTGTTTGGGGAAAAGCTCCATCAAAGGTAAAAGAGGGCACAGCCTGGACTCTGTTTCAACCATTTTTTTACCTTTCCAGTGTAATGTTTTGAAATCTGATGACTGAGAAAATCATGTTAATTTTATATTGTAGATTGTTGCCTCTTATAAAACAGAATCAGGCGAGACAAAAACAAGCCTTCTGCTCACATCAGGATGGTATCTCCTTCCTCTCTTTTTACTTGCATTTTATTAGTTTCACCACGCAAAAAGAGATCTGGTCTTATGAGATGTATGTTAGGTTCTTCTCATGAATGTGGTTAGTTTAGATACCCAATACAGAATTCAGATAATATCTCAAGCTGATTTTTAGGTGGGGTCTAGCTCGGCACTTCCATTATGTCCCCGAAATATCCGCTGCATTTTTCTGGACCGTTCCAGCTCTTTTCAACCACGTAAGACAATATGATGTGCCCTTTATAGTACTATTTTCTTTCATATTGTTATTTTGCAGGAATGCACCTTCTTTCCCTCCCTGGCCTGAAATTTAATCTCCCTTCTCTCCCTCCATGTGTTTGCAGGTTCTTCCTTATTTCTATGTGGTGTTTCTCACCATCCTACTCTTTGATCGAGCCAAGAGGGACGATGATCGATGCAGATCAAAGTGAGCTCCCC